TTTCTTTCCTGATCCTTACTATTGTCATTTTCCCTCTACTTCTTTTGTACGTGTGTCTCACTCTTGTGACCCACTATTTCCGGGGTGCCTTGATAGTCGAAACAGACTTTGTGCTGTTGAAGCTAGAGAGGTGAGCAGAGTAAGTCTGATTCCCTGTAAGGACTTCTCAATTAACATCACCCCTTGGCGCTCATATGACCTTATGCAATTGCGAGGGCCGTAAAACTTCTACTAAAACAAAAAATCGACATAATTTCGATCATTCAGGACGTAAGCTGCTTCGACCCTGCCCGTCAGAATGATCAGAATGATACAACGCCTGACAGACGAAGAAAGTGGTTGATTGGCGGGTGCTCTGGTGTGGTTTGCTCCGTCCTTCCTACCAAATATCAATCATAGTCCTGATCTCTCCTCATTCTTTTTTTGTGTTTGTTACTCTCTTGTAACACCTCTAATCTTCGGCACTTATATGACCTTATCGTGTTGCAAGTGCCATAAAACTCTTACTCTAAACCTAAGACAGAGAAAGGAGGTTTAAGAAAAAGAAGGACCCCTCGTCTCTCGGGAATCGATCCATATCTTTTACGTAAGACGGCGAAGTGCCTAACTGCTACACCACTCTGACGCTGTGCTTTCTTCATTTCTGTTTTGTTCCCACGCATGTTTTGGTGACGTTTGCTTGGATGTTTTGTGTCCATCTTTCCTTCCCCTTTTCCTGGTTCTTAATTGGTCGCTGTTTAGGACAAGTGGGCTAACCCAGATTTCGAGGGTTTTCAGAAAACTTGACTAACGTCAAAAGTGGGCATTGCCCTACCTATAGCGGAAGTTTGGTTTCATTGGTGTGTATATTTGTTTGGTTATAGAGAAAACTCTCCTTGTCTTTTAAAGAAACTGTACAAGGGGCAAAAAACTTTACCTTCAATTTTCTCAAAACGTCATTTTTCGGGATAGCCTCCGTGTGCTTATGAGCGAACACTTCTTTCTTAATCTAGAAGGGTGAGGCATCGGGTCAGTGAAAAAATAATAATGAACATAATGTATAATTATCTCCCCCTGTCACTTCCCCTTTTACTCAGTCTACATGACGCGTTCTTCTGTATCTATTTACCCCCTCGCCGCTTCCGTTTCTAAACTGTCTCTAATGACATCCTACTTTCCAACTTTTCACAAACCCTGCGTGCTACAAATAGATCCATAGACGTCTCAAACAATCTCGCGAGTGCTATTCGTGGATACAAAACTCTCCAAACATCAAACTTCACTGAACAAACACGTTCGTACGCCACTCCCCTTTGCCTGGGCTTTGGCTGGGAGGTTTCTGTTGGGACAATATTATGTCTGAGTGAATGAATTGGGGCGTAATGAGGTGGCTTTTTTGTATGAAAAATACTATACCCCTTCGGTGGGCTGTACTATCTTTGTTTGTATGTTGTACTTCGCGGAAGAGGAATTTGGGAACGAAAAACCCGGACTGATGTTTTCTATATAGACTAGATCTAGAATCTAATGTGAATCAAAGCTAAGGGGTTGTTGTTTTTTTCATCTTTTATTCTTTTCTCTTCGTTCCTTTTTCTTTAGTTTCTGTTTTTTTTTATTTGTATGTACGTCTGTCATTTGACTGAATGGGTTTTTGTCTCAATCTTTTACTAATACAGACACACACACTCACACACACACAAGCACACATACACACATACACACTTACACACACAAACACACGCACATACTCATATACACACACAAACACACATACACACATACCCACATACACACACAAACACACGCACACACACACACACACACACACACACACACACACACACACACTCATATTAAAACGATGTGAACCAGACCACAGATGTAGATCTAATCATTTGCTGTTTTATTCAACAAGAAACATGTTATCTCCCTTATCGCCCATCTCCACCTTCACTGCTCGCTTCTTCTCATTCGGTCCATCTATCTATCTATCTATCTATCTATCTATCTATCTATCTATCTATCTATCTATCTATCTATCTATCTATCTATCTATCTTTTTGTATCCCATCGTGTACCTTTCTAATTTTCTGTCTATCTGTCTGTCTGTCTGTCTGTCTGTGTGTGTGTGTGTGTGTGTGTGTGCGTGTGAGAGAGTGTGTGTGTATGCCTGTATGAAAGTATGCGTGTATCTGTATAAATGTCTGTCTATCTGTCTGTCTGTCTGTTTGTTTGTCTGTCTTTCTGTCTTTTTCTATAAAAAAAGATTTTTTTAAAAGCCACAAAATTTAATGTATGCCGTTACAACAACGAGACAAATCCACACACAAATATCTGTCTATCTGCCTGTCTACTTGTTTGTCTGTCTGCTTGTCTGTCTGTCTGTCTGTCTGTCTGTCTGTCTTTGTCTCCATTAAAAAAGAATTAAATTTTTTTTTTTTAAATTATCTGTATGCCGTTACAACAACGAGACAAATCCACACAAAAAGAACATGAGTAATCCCCAATGCTGCACCACAGAAACAGCAAACAAAACAAAAAAAAGAAACTAACCCCCAGGAAATAAACGGAACAAAAACGCCTCAAAACAATGAGCGGGTCATAAAATTCTCCGGCCGCCGCGGACATAGCGGACAGGCCCGACTGTAAAACTGGGCGTTTTGTGGCAGATTCGTTGTAAATTAGGCCGGAGGCCAGTCCACGCCAAACTGTCTCCCCGGGGCGGGGATGTGTGTCTGTGTGTGTGTCTGTGT